TTTTTTTTTTAAAGATTTATTTTACCTATACAAGAACTGGGGTACAGGCCAGATGCATGGGAAGGTGACAGGATTCACCAGAGACAGAGTGGGGAACAGAACAGGCAGATGGACCAAAGACACTGCTGAGGGGAGCAGCGGATGAGACAGGAGAGGTCTGCTTCACCATGAGTGTTGGTCCCAGGCTGTCCGGCTGTCCAGGAATCGAACCAGCGCTTTAGAGGCTGCGGACAGCTTCACAGCACTACGCTCAACCACTTGTGCCTCCAGGGAGGCCCTTAGATTTGGGATTTAAAAAAAAAAAATTTTTTTTTAAATTTATTTGTTCATGCATACAAGAACTGGGGTACAGGCTAGAGATGTGTGTGGGGGGTTGAAAGGATTCACCAGAGACAGAGTGGGGAGCAGAACAGGCAGACTGACTGAAATACACTGCTGAGGGGAGCAGCGGGCGAGACAGGAGAGATCTGCTGTGCCTTGTGGATCTCTCCCTGGCCAGGCATTGAACTCGTGCTGCAGTGGCTGCAGATATCTTCATAGTGCAGTGCTTTACCCCTTGCGCCACCAGGGAGGCCTTAAAATTTTTTTGAAGGTTTATTTATTTAATCATACAAGAATGGGGGTACAGGCCAGAGGTGTGAGGGGTGAGAGGATTCACCAGAGAGAGTGGAGAACAGAACAGGAGGATTGACTCAAACACACTGATGATGGGAGCAGCAGGCAAGTCAGGAAAGGTCTGCTACACCCTGTGGGTAGCTCCCTGGCCTGGGATCGACTCATGCTGCAGTGGCTGTGGTTTGCTTCAGAGGTTGTGTCTTAACCCCTGCGCCACCAGGGAGGCGCTGATTTGGGATTTTTCTTTAGGATATACTGACCGGACTTGGTGCCTATGGGGACACGGGGAAAGCAGGTCAAAGATGACCCTGGTTCATTTAATTGCAGCCTGGTGTGAAGGCTAGTGCAGTCTCTCTAAGGAGCAATAGGTAGCAATTTGGGGAGAAGGAAAAAAAATCAAGAAATCTTCTCTTGGTCACATTGCAATTGCTTTGGTGATCATTAAAGTTTTTTTTTTAATTTTTAAAAAAGATTTATTTATTTATTTATTTATGCAAGCACTGGGTACAGTCAGAAGCGTGGGAGGGTGAGAGAATTCACCAGAGCCAGAGCGGGGAGCAGAGCAGGCAGAAGGACCAAAGTACACTGCTGAGGGGAGCAGCGGGCGGCAGGAGAGGTCTGCGTGCCATGTGGGACCCTTCTCTGGTGGCCCCGTGGCAGCGGGGGCAGGGTGGTGGTGGTGGTGGCCACCGGCGCTGCAGAGGCTGCGGGCAGCTTCGCAACCCAGTGCTCAACTGCTGTCCACCAGGGAGGCCCTCATTAAAGTTTTTTTAAAGCAGTGTTATTGATACACAATTCACAAACCATTACAAGCCCCTCCCTCCACCCCTTTAAAGTGCACAGCCTATTGAATGACTTCTAGTAGATCGTGAATATCTGGGAGGGCTTTCTGTCCATCACATCAGTTGGAGAATATTTTCATTACCCCATAATAAACCCTCAGCTCCTTAGCTCTGATCTGCAAATCCTTCCTTGTCTCTTCCCCTGGAGCCCTAGGCATCCACTATTGTCCTTTTGGTCCCCATAGAGGTGTTGATTATGGACATTTTCATCTCTAAGTAGATGGTAATGTGGTCCTTAATGACTGGCTTTTTCACTTCAGATGTTTTCAAGGTTCATCCATGTTTAACAGTACTTCATTTCTCTTTATTGCTGAATAATATGACATTGTATAAATACATTTTATTTATCCATTCATCAGTTGATAGACATATGGACTGCTTTTACTTTTTGACTATTATGAGTAATGTTGATATGGATGTTTGTGCACAACTTAATGTTTGAACACATTCTCATTTTTCTTATGTGCATACCTAGAAGCTGAAATTCTGGATCATATGATAAGTTTAATTGTTTAAGAACCATTTTACATTCCTACCAGCGGTATATGAGGGTTCTAATTTCTTGAATTCCTCGTCAACATTTATCTATTTAATTTTAGCCATCCTAGTGGGTGTGAAGTGATATCTCATTGTAGTTCTGGTCTGCTTTTTTCCAGATGGCTAATGTTGTTGAGCATCTTTTCATGTGTTTATTGACTGTATATCTTTGGAGGAATGTCTGTTCAGATCATTTGCCTATTTTTAAAAATTGGGTTGTCTTTTATTATTGAGTTGTAATAGTTTTTTAATAGATACAAGTCTCAATCTGATATATGACTAGCAAGTTTTTTCTCCATTCTGTGGGTACACTTTTCATTTTCTGTGGTGTCCTTTAAAGTACAAATATTTTAATTTTGATAATGTGGCTATTTTACACTTAAAACTCCTAATAAGTAGTTGGGTTTGTAAGCCAGGGCTTCAAAAGAGAACCATCCCTGGATTGACTGTATTTAAAGCCATAAAGTTGGATGAAAGCACAGAAGTGAGTGTGGGTGGAAGATAGTGGGCTGATGGCTGAGCCCTGAGGCGCTCCATTATCTAGGGGTCAAGAAGAAGAGGCAGAAGGATGGATGATCAAAAGAAGCTACTGACTCCTGGAAAAACCATGGAGGGTGGACTTGGGATATGGCATTAAATAAACCAAGTCTCATTACTGCCACCGCTGAGCACAGATCCCATTGCAATAGTCTGATATCAAACACACACACAGACATAATTGATGCTACACAAATCCACTGCACCTATTCTGTGAAGGTTTCCTTAACTTACCAGGTCTCTACACTCAAAATCCACCACCACCCCACCCCCAATAAATGCACTTATAGGAGATTTAAGTACTTAGTTATCTAGGAAGATTTATGACCTTGTTGAAATTAACTCTTGCTACTGTTAATGGATGTGATGCTGCAAAGCTTTGATAGAACATATGTCTTGCTTTATTTTTTAATGGAACAGGCTAAAAGGCCCACCCCATAGGATCAACTAATTACACAGAGACTCTAAGATAGAAAGCTCTAAAGGTCTTACCCAGACCACTTTTTCCTTTTGTCTGGGTCATTGTGACTTCCAGGGATTCTGGGATTTCTGCAGTCAATAAAAGGGCCTTTGAAACAACTGTCCAAAGTCACTCAATGCTGTTCCTGCTGAGGTGTGTTTAAAAACACAGAGGCAAGAGGTGGCCTGCCTTTCACAACACAACGTGGATATGGGCGTTCTCGTTCACAAGGCCAGCTGGAACCTGGGGAGTTCTCTTTCTGTAAGATGTGTGATTTTTGTTGACTTTAAATGTAACATGCTCCAGGTGGAAGGAAAAAGTCCTGACTTATGAAAACAGAGTCAAGGCAGACAGATCCCCCCTCTGGGCTGGAGTTGAATCCCAGAAGAACTGGAGAATCCATTTAGCCTTGAGTCAGTTTACTTCTTAATCTTTCAGCTCATCTGCAGGAGAGGGCAACACACCTCTGTGCTGACTTCCCTTCTTCTACCTCTGCTGTCAGGACTGGAATTGACCTATTTGTCCATGTTCTTTTTCTTCTGTCAAATGACCCCAGTCTAACTGGCCAAAAGGAACAGTGGTTTGCACATAGAAACATCCAGAAAAATAGGGCAGAGATCTAAAGAGCATATAGATAAAACCTCATATTTTAATAAGCACTGTGAGCTTGGTGACCTTCTGTGGTAGGTTCTAGACTCATAGTTAGGAAGAGATTAGGAAACAAAGTGAGAACCGGGTGCAAGAAGTGAAAAGGGCAGGCCCTTATTACTGAAGAAAAATGTGGACTTGGTTTCCAGGAAATGAGGGAGGGCTTTTCTGGATGTGTCTGGTTTCTTCTCTGGGATCCAGTAGTAAAGGGGTGGAGTGGGAGAGAGGCCTAGTGTGAGCCAGCAGGGGAGTTTTAAATGATGTGGGGCTCATTGATTTCACTTCTCTGCATCCTGGTTATCATTTACACTCCTGGATGGAAGTGCAACAAATGTGGGAGATCTTTATAGGGACAGCTGGGTTAGGAAAGGGATCACAGGAGGGAGGACTCTCGCCTTCAATCAAAACCTGAGTGGCTTTTCTCTGCAGGGAATGGTGTTGGAGTGTGTGAGGGCACCAGAGGAATAACGGGACAGGCCAAAATGTGAGCATGAAAGGAGACTGGGGTTTTTGACAAAACCACCAAGAAAGTCACCCAAGGAAAAAAATGGTTAGGAATTTCCCCTATGTGGCAGCATTTGCCCTGCAGAACGGGAAAGCTTGCATTTAGACTCTTTAAACCCCAACCGTAGCTCGCTCTAGCTCACAGACCCTTTTGCTACACCCCACCTCCTCACCTGAGCAGCGTCTCCCTGAACCCCCAAAGCGTGCACCCAGTCATAGGGGCCCACCACAGAGAAGAGACAGAAGGTACTGGCGGTAAGCCAGGTCTCAGTCACCATCCCCCTTAGGTCCCTAGACTCCCCTCCCCACCCAGTTGCCAGAACAAATCCCGAGTAATTGTTTTCCAGGAGGAACTGGGCGCGCTCAGTGGCGCCGCCACAGTCTGGGCTCCCCCGGGGAAAAAACCCACTAGCGAGAGCCGGGCGGATCTTCGTCTCCCGCAGGATGAGCTGTGGCAACTTGGGCAGCCCCCACCGCGGCGCCGAGGCAGAGGCAGCTACAGTGGCGCGGGCAGCTCGCCGGGGCTGGATCGCGTGAAGTCCAAGAGGCACCCTGCGCCCAACTGCGCCTCCCTGACGGTCGCGGGTCCCGGGACTCCAGCTCGCGTGCTCGCTAAGTAGCGGCTCTGCACCTGTCGCCCCGGTTCTCGCAGCTCGGCAGGCGAGGGCGGAGAACTCTATAGGTCCCCAGCGCTCAGCGCAACCTGCCGGAGTAGCGGAGCCCCGCGCACCCGCCCCACTTCCAAGGCGGGCGCAGCCGCAGCGGGGGCCGGGGACCGAGCTGGGCGCCGCAGCCGCCCGCGTTGGGGGGCGGGCTGGGGGCGGGGCGGCCAGGGCCGCCTTCCCGGGCGCGATCCCCGAGCGCAGCACCCGCGCGGCGAGCCACCTCCCCCGCCGCCCGCTAGCAAGTTTGGCAGCTCGGAGTCCGGCGCGCCTCGGGATCCAGGCGCATTTGTTTCCTCCTGGCAACGGCGCGCCGGGCTTGGCGGGGACCCTCGGGAGCGATGCCGCTGGATGTGATTTTAGTTGTGTGGATCTGTGTGTGCACCGCCCGGACAGGTAAGCACTACTGGGGCTGTCGAGGGATTCAGGAAAAGGTGGGGGACCCCCGCCGCTGTAACCAGCGCCCATACAGGCTTCGGGAGACCTGAAGCCGAGCGCCACGCTGGTCCGGGTATCGGCGGTGCAGTGTGCATGGGACCCTCGGGTTTCTCAGCCCTGATCTATCCAGGTGAAGGGGTGAGAAGTGGTATTCACTCTGGAAGATGCCCGAAATGAGTGCCCCGGTCTCTGGGGTCGCGGGCTCGCGGACGCAGGAGTGAGGGGCGCGGCCTGGCGGGCGCACCCTCCTGGTGCTACTAACCAGCTTCCGGGGCGAAATCCACATCAGCGCAGCCGGGAGAACCCCACACCCTCGAACTTGCAAGGGGAGGTGGAAACCGCTCTCCCCGCGCCCCACCCGGCTGCGCCGGGGCAGCCGCGGGCGTCTCCCCGCAGAGCGCGCGCTTCCGGTCGGCGGGTGCGGCCGGAGCCCGCCAGGGCGCGGCGCTGGGCGAGGGTTGCGGGGTTCCGGCGAGCCCCGGACCTCGCTTTCTCTTCTGGTCCCCTTCGGGGCTCTGCCGAGGGGAACTCCTGGAGTATGCGCTCTCCCCACAGCCTCCCCCGGCCCCAGGGGCTGGACGAACAATTATCGGGGGAATTGGAATTGGAACCGTGTAGACAATTCGGGGAGATTTTCTCAAGCTCCAAATCAGCCGTCCGTTGCTATAATAATTGCAGGTTGGAGGATGCGGAGGAGAGGGGCGAGGATAATGGGTTTAATTTTCTGAAGTCCGCACTTGATTCTGCGGTCAGAGATGCAGTTGTGTGGACTCTCAGCGCACCCCCATCCTGCCGCACCCCCAGCCCCCATGTCCCCTGGGTTTGGAGACCTGCTCTCAGCCGCCTGCTCCGAAGGACTGGTAGTAGATGTGAGGAGGCTAAGGAGTAGTGGAGTAGGAAATTGGCAAAAAAAAAAAAAAAAAAAAAAAAAAAAAAAAAATCACACACAAAAAAAACCCTGAGCTTTCAGTGTGTGCGCGCGCGTGTGTATATGTGTGTGTGTGTGTGTGTGTACGCGCGCGCGTGTCCATGCGGCGGAGGAAGGGGGAGGTTGAGTGTAGCGAGTTTTTATTCCTGCACTAGCCACCCCCCACCCCGTGCCCGCTGCCGACTTTGCGCCCCAGAATCCGTGTGTGGTAAAACCCCCGGCCTTTATCTTTCCTGTTCCACCACCCTTACCTCCCTGCCTAAGAGGCACAGGCTTTTCAGGCCAGATAGCAAGTTTATCCGGAGAGGACCTTGGGGGAGGAGCGCCCGGATTTGGTTGGCTCAAAAGTTCCCTCCACTCGCCCCAGGCGCCTCTCTTTGACCGTGAGCCCGGCGGGAGGATGCAGGAGTTGGGCGGCCAGGAGCTTCCTGCCAGACCTTCCCGTTTCTCCCGAGTTAGCGGGCAGGAGCTTTGCCTTTGCTTAATCTAAGAGCATCCGGTGTGGACTCTCCAGGGACAAAAGGAATCCCCATTCCCATTCCTGTCTTCAGCCAAGCTTCCCTGGCAGCGAAGACACCAAGGCTCAGTCCAACCTAAAATAGCTGCTTCGGAAGTTCGGGCCTATGATGATGAGGGGTTAGTCTTTTATAATCTAGAACGCAGTGGAAGGAAGCGCCCCCACCCCCCCACCGCCCGCCCCAGATCAGCGCACGCGAGTCTAGTGCAAAGTGGGCTGGCAGCCCTGCGTGGGGAGAATCAAGTGCCATTCCTTTTACTGAGGAATGCAAGAGGAAGACGAGATGGGGGGTAGGCAGAGCAGTCATGGGCCATTTCACATCCTCAAGTGGGTATCACTACCCAAGGTGCCTAAATCCTTTGTTCTCATTACTCCTTTGAAAAAGTCAGCAAAAAGTGCCTCCATGGGGAGTGGACGGTGTCTCCAGGGCGCATGGCTTGTGGACATCTTTAAGAACACATCTTTTCCTCATCTCCACATCAAGCCCCTTTAAACCCCTGTAAAAATTCAGTTGTAGGGAAGATTCATTCATGTATCCATTCATTCATTCATTCATTCATTCATTCAACAAACAGCTGAGTGTCTTGCAGGGTGCCAAGACTGCTTATGCAAAAAAGGAAATGACTTGGTCCTTGACTTCCAGGAACTTACAGTTTACTTGAGAATCTAGATAGAAACTGGAAAGCATTTTTATTATACAACTTAATGGGGGAGGGAAGGAGAGGTGGCATTGTAAGAAGTTTGTGTTAAGGAAATGCAAGGAGGAGCAGTAGGAATTAATATTGGGGAGAAGTGATTGGTGGTGAGGGAGGGTTTTAATCAGGAGATGACATTTGGGGGTCCTGTTGAGAGTTTGCAAGTGGACAAAGAGAACAGTATTCCAGACAGAGGGCACAGCTTGTGCAAAAGCAGGGAGACTTGGCGGAATCTGTTCCACTGGTTGTGGCAGTTGTTTAGGGAGCTTGAATTTCCCATGCTGCTTGGCACTATTTACTGAACACCAGAGGCCACGTTTCTTCTGCAAAACTTGTTGGGAGAATCAGAGAGAGAAGGGGGGATTCTATCTTACTTCTTTCACTTGCAAGTTCTTGTAACTGGAGGGTGTATTATCAGCAGTTTTCTAGGGCTAGCCTTTTTGATTTTGTCCAGGTACCATCATCCTTGCATCCCAGAATCATCCTTCTAAGGTAGCAAAGGGTGCACGATGATTAGTTTATCAGGATCCAAACAGCTGCTTGCAGAGTTTATTTGTCAAGTGAGACAATCGTTGTCTGGGGTGTTAACAGTCCAAGATGAAATAAACATGTGGTTTACTTAGGGAGCTACTCAGATCTCACCGTCTTTTAATGGAAGTGAATAGATGATATCAGGCACATTTTAATTAAAGCAGCTCTGCAGTGTGGTAGAAGTTACATATGAGAAGATCTAATGATAGGTGCCATAGGAAGTTGCTTCAATTGCTCATTGTTCCGAGAACTTGTTTCAACTAAAGTGGAGTGGGGATGGGGCGGTGGGGGTGGGGGGGGGGTGTTCTGTTCTCCAGTTCTTGTTATTTCTCAGTGAAAAATAATTCTGGGATTTCCAGGTACATGAACATTTAGAAAACTACAATACTAGCAATAATAACATACTGTGAACATGAGTTTTCTCCAGTGGCCTAGGGGTGGTTTGAAAGAAGCCCCTCAGGGCCAGGTGAATGCCTTTTGCTGCCACCTGCTGGAAGGAGAGCTTTTCTTTTTGAAGCTCCTTCCAGATTGTTCACTAACTATGCATTGAATAATAGAGCCCAGAACAGATCCCCCAGCCTCCAGTGATCATGTGAAATATTGGCCCACTTGCAACAGGCATTGAACATTTTTTTAAGGTTTATTTATTTATGCATACAAGAGCTTGAGGTACAGGCCATTGGTGCCTGGGGTGAGAGGATTCACCAGAGACAGAGTGGGGAACAGAACAGGCAAATTGACCGAAGTACTCTGCTGAGGGGAGCATCAGACGAGACAGGAGAGGTCTGCTTTGCCATGTGGGTTGCTCCCTGGCCGGCTGGGGATCGAACTCGTGCTGCAGAGGCTGTGGATAGCTTCATAGTTTGCGTCTTAACCCCTTGTGCCACTAGGGAGGCCCATAGAGCATGTTTGTCAGGGAAATTGCTTTTGGGGTACCTCTGTGGTCCAGGGATCCAAATTTTGATCAAATGATTGTGAAATCCCGCTGTTAAACCAGCTCTTGGAGTATTTGTTCAGCTTTATATTCTCCTCCGTGGGGCAGGGGAAAACACTTGCCATCATGGACAATGAGCTGGATTAGATTTGAAGTGAACAGGATCCAGGAGGATTTGCTTGGGAGCTTAGTCCTGGGACCCTGAAGGTGGATTGAGGGGGGCTTGGCCCTGAGCACTCTGGGGGCAGGACTGAGGAGAGACAGACAGCTGCTGCAGCAGCAGGTGTCCTGGGAGATTAGGGTGAAGGCTCTGAATCTTAGGGTCAGGCCTCAAGTGCCTCTGTCACACTGACAGGCTGCCTTGTGGATTTAAAAAATGTATTTCTTCCTCACACATTTTATCCTGCTTAAATCCAATGCCCAGCTTCAGCCATTTGTAGAGCAGTTATAACCAAAGTGGAAAACTTTAAGTGTTTCCTCAGAAAGGGCAAGAGCTCCATGCTTGGACAAGAAGCAGAAACATTAAAATGAAAAACTTATTTCTATGGAACTAAAGTGTCCTACTCTATAAGGTTCAGGAGAGGTCATGTAGATGCTACCTAATGAATAGATTTTCTGGTTCCCTAGGCAGTGTGCAAAGTGTTATCTTTCACACATCCTGCTATTGACACAAGGCATTTGCATCTTGAAGGGGAACAATTAACGAGTGCAAAGAAAACTGTATTTGGATGGTTAATTGATTTCTTTTCTCTTCCTCTGTTTTTATGGGACTGTTTTGTGATAAGAGCAGCACAGTTACCTTAAAGCCCTATAAACCCCCTCCACTTGTGCGTTGCAGGGGGAGCGTGAATATAGGTTTCACATATAGATTTCACAAAGTATTGCCAAGTGAAAACCTTCTGGGTGAGTGGGCATGTGGAGGGCTTGGGGAGGAAATTTTTTTGTTCCTTTCTGTATGATTCCAGTGGAGCTGAAGATCATGTTGCTGGCATGGTCCTGAGAGCTGGTCTACTGAAAGCAGCACCAGTCAGGTGTCAGGCCAAGTTCCTGGCAGTGTTCTCATCCTTATCCTTGAAAACTAGGAGGCTGCGAGGCAGCTAATATCCTTCCCATTTTATGAATGAAGGGACAAGACTGGAAGAAGTGAATTGATACTCCCGAGGGCACAGATTTAGGAGGGGAAGAGGCAGGACTCACATTGATTCTTGGGTTGGTGTTGTTTCCACATTTTCTAGATTGAGGGTGTCTTATGCTCAATGTAAGGTGGGGATTCAAGAGCACCATGGGGGTTGTGCTGATTCTACAGAGTCTATTTTGTTCACCTTTTATTTTATTTATTTATTTTTTAAAGATTTATTTATTTATGCATACAAGAGCTGGGGTACAGGCCAGAGATGCAGGGGGGGAGAGGATTGACCAGAGACAGAGTGGGGAACTGAACAGGCAGATTGGCTGAAGTACACTGCTGAGGGACACAGTGGGAGAGTCAGGAGAGGTCATGCTGCGCCACGTGGGTTTGGGATTGAACTCGTGCTGCAGAGGCTGCAGATTGCTTCATAGTGCGGTGCTTAACCCCTTGCGCCACCAGGGAGGCCCTTGTTCATCTTTTAAGCTTGCCCAGTTTTATGGACAGTTTTGGAGCCTGAGAGACTCCTGCATCTTAAGAATGGCCATCATAGTGGTCTTTAGTTCTTCCACTGGTAAACTCTTGCCGTGATAATATTGCATCGCAAAGCGCTCAAGACTCAAACAAACCAAAAACAGATCTTAAAGCAACAATCATTATTTTGGTTCATGTGTTTGTAGTTTGGTTTGGTGTTTACTCATCCAGGCCATGTTAGACTGGGCTTGCTTTCAAATTCAGGTAGGGTGTCTGTTCATGTGAGTCAGCCTCCTTGGACCAGTGGACACCAGGACCATGCTCTGCACATCTCAGTGCAGAGGTACAAGAGGTACAAGAGAACAAGCCCACTGCACAGCCACCTGGAAACCTGTGCTTGAGTAATTTGCTGACATCCCAAAGACCAAATATGTTGCAAAGCTTAATTAAAAGTCAAGGGATTGGGGCTTCTCTGGTGGCACAAGGGGTTAAGTCTCAACATTATGAAGCTATCCACAGCCACTGCAGCATGAGTTGGATCCCCGGCCATGGAACTCACCCACATGGTGCAACAGACCTCTCCTGTCTTGTCTGCTGCTCCCCTCAGCAGTGGGTTTCAGTTGATCTGCCGGTTCTGCTCCCCACCATCTCTGGTGAATCTTCTCACCCCCACTACTTCCTCACCACTGGCCTGTAACCCAGCTCTTGTATGCATAAAAACATAAATCTTCAAAAAAAGTCAAGGGATTGAGGAATTTTATGCTCGCTCTAGTGCAAAGAACCACAAAGCCACGCAGCATGGGGTAAGGAGGTGTAAAGATTCGAGACCAATAGTTGAGTCATCCACAGTCCTTTTAAAAGATTCCTTTCCCTGAATGCCACCCTATCCTCTTGTGGTGTCTCCAGATATGCATATTGCTTGGAGGTCTTTGAACCCAAGTCAATAATCGTGCATACACTCATCAGTTAGTCAATCAAGTTAGAAATTTAGGGCCATATATCAGGCCCTGTGTGAGACCCTGGAACTCCAGGGAAGCCTCCTTCCTCTTGTGTCCAGCTAGAGGCAGATTCCCCAGACCACCTTCCAAATTCTTGGCCAGAAAATGACCAGCTTGGAGGTCCTCTGAGATCATTCTTCGTTTATTTTCTGCCGTATAGGTAGAGAGCACTATAGATCAAATGAAATATTAGTCCCTTTCTTGTCTTTTCAAGGTCATTACAGAACCCTGGCATCTGAGATCACTTGGAGAAAAACACCCTCAGTCTCTGCAAGAGGCTCATGGAGATGGATGCCCATTAACTCAGTGCTGCTTTTCACAGAGTAGGCACTTGATCAGTCTTTGTGAACTGAGTCTGTGAGAGGAAGGTATTAGACAGGTAGGATGGAAACTCACAATAGATCATAATGTAAATGATGATTTACTCCTCTGTTTAAACACAGGCTTAAAAACCTCCAGTGATCTCCTCTTGTAATTGATATTAGGATAATATCAATATCAACCTCTTAGTTCTGGCTCACAAGGCAGGATCTACTTCCCCCCTCTCCCATTTTACTTAGTTATTTCAATTTCCATTCATTCATTTACTTATTTATTGATTTGACGTAATGTTGCTTTACCTGGTTGTTTGTAATTTAGGCTCTCCCCCCTCGGGTGTAGTTACCAGATTGCACCCACTACCAAGACACCCATCGAGCTGCTTCCCCACTTTGTTCTTGTCTCCCCCCGCTCAGTTCCATAGTCAGTTCTCTAGGCCTTGTTCTTCGTTTAGAGTCTACTCTTGGCTCCTGTTTACTCCCACTCTCCCCCGACCCACTCCACTCCAGCCACACTGGTCTTTCTCTGTTCCCTGAGTACCCCATATTTGTTCTGCTTTGCATTTGCTGTTCTTTAAATCCAAAAGTTCCCCTCACACCCCTCTCCCCCCAGATCTCTCTTTCCATTGCTGGTTTCATCTTGACAAGCAGATTTCAGCTCAGAAGAACTTCCCTGACCACCCTCCACCCAAGTTGCATTCTATTCCATTACTGTTTTATTTTCCTCATAGCATTTATTGCCATCTCAAATGAGCTTTCTCATTTGTCTGTTCATTTTACCCTCTCTTAACCCCCACCCACCCCTGCTCATTTCCCCAGAGACAGCCGCTCAGCGAGGACTTCTTTAGGACCTAGCAATGCGTGTGCTGCCATAAGCACTCAGTAAGATCTGGTGAAAACGTGCTGTGTGAATGAATGAATGGAAAAAGAGTTGTTTAGTTTCATAACAGGCTGCATTTGGAAGGGGACGATTTGCACCTTCAGTTCACAGGACAAGGAAAAGTCTGACCCAGCAAGGGAAGGCTGTGATATGCCGTGTGCCTTTAATTTAACCCTTTGCTTGCCTTGGCAATGACCGGCTTCAGTTCCTAAGAGCCTTCCCTAACCAATCTTCTGTTAACAGAAGCCTGGACTGAGCATCAGTTCCTGCTCCTAGCAGGAAAAAAGAGGGTAGATTTCATCCCCCAAATATGTGGGGTAAGGAAGAAGGACAGATGAGGTTGTAATAGCTCATAATGTCATGCTGGACATTCCTTCAGTCTCTCAGGGACAAATTGGGTGCAAACTCTCCAAATCCTGCTTCAGTGACTGCATTACCACCATCAAACCAAGTTGACAGCTGCTGCTGATTAAAACATTTCCAACTGTGCAATCAGAATTGCACTATTGAGATGCAATAGACGCTGCCTTTGTGAATGGCTTCAATACAGCCCTGGAGAGTGATCTCTTGCCTTATTAATGTAGATCATCAGAAGTCACCTTCTAGTCATGAATGGATCATTCAGCAGAACACCCCCTGGGTGAGAGACAGTCTAGAATGTCCTTTCTCAGACAAGGCAGTGGGGTTGGCGGTGGTGGGGCGCACATTTCCCTGCACTAAGCTTCTCGAACCAGTGTTGTCAGGATGTCTAACTTTCCATTCAGCAATCTCCTTGGATAGAAAATGTGCAACCAAAATTCCTGGTAGTCTCTTTCCTGGCCAGCCCCTCTGCCATCCTTTTCCAACAGGGGGGTTCTTCCCATTGCCTCCCTCTTTGTCATAGGTGGGGAATGGTCTGTGGGGATGTTTGCAGGTGTTGATGGTGTGAGATTTTCCTATTGAAACAGGTAGAGTGGGGCTGTGATGCTGTGTCTTCAGTCCCCAAATCTAAAAAAGCTCCGAAGCACAAAGTTTCCTCATTATTTACCTGACAATGCAACTTACCCTGAGTTGAACTTCAAAACTTGACCCTAACCAGTGATACAAGCCTATTTATACTTAGCCAATTAGAGGAAAATGTCATACCTTTTGCTCCAGAAATATTGTATTTGATTACTCAGTACTGATTCAGACTTTGCTGAGGTGTAACATAAAATGTAATGCCAGGCCATGTTACCTTTCTAACATAAGATACATTCTGAGTTCTGAAATATGTTTGGCCCCCTGGGTATGAATAGGACTTGGGGAGATACATAGAAACTATAGTATCTGGGGTGATGGGGCAGATTTGCCCACCTTTTCTTTTGGAGAGAGAGGTCTCCAACCACAATGGGGCTTTTTTTCTTGTATTCCCTGCCACCTCTGGCCTCTGTAATTTCTGCTCCATGTTGCTGCGAACAGTCTGCATTTTAAGCCAAGACAGCTCTCTGTTCTGTTTCAGTACTGGGCTTTGGGATGGACCCAGACCTTCAGATGGACATTATGACTGAGCTTGACCTCGTGAACACCACCGTTGGAGTCACCCAGGTGCCCGGGCTGCACAACGCCAGCAAAGCCTTTTTATTTCACGGTAATAGAGCCACTTCCTTTTTTGCATGGGGACCAAGCTTGGGGAGGATGGCCTGTCTGGAGAGTGTTCAGCTGGGGTGGTATTTGTTGGAGAATCAATCTCTGCTGTTGCTCTCGTGTTATCGTCATGAAGAATATTCATGTATTTGGCATGTGCTCTAAGGGTAGGGGGCACTCGAGGGCATGGTAGTGAAATACTGATATTTACCTTGATAGTGAGATATTTCCCTGGGGATTTTGGTGGGGCTTGATAGTGGAATGAAGATGTAAAGTCCTTAGAAGTCATTGGCCTACAATATTATTTTTATAGGGTGTTTCTTCAACTATTGTCTATTCTTTACCTATATTACACCTACTCTGGTATCTGTATCTCTTCTCTGATGAACTGATCCCCAACACAGAGATTGTTTGATGGCTGCATTCTCTTAGGGGAGCAGCTTATTGGTTCTTCCCAGTATAAGCTTGACCACAATTCATTAAATCATTTAACATGCATTCATAAAGGCAATATAGGGGGCTCCTTAAAAGCATGGTTCTAGACTCCAACTGTCTGGGCTCAAATCTCAACCTTGTCACTTACTGACTTTGAAACTGGGTGGTTTCCTAGCCTGACTCTCTGTGTGTTCTTTTTTTTTTTTTTTAAATTTTTTTCAAGATTTATTTATTTATACAAGCATTGGGTACAGTCAGAGCAGGGAACAGAACAGGCAGACTGACGAAACACATTGCTGAGGGGAGCAGCGGGAGTGGCAGGAGAGGTCTGTCACACCATGTGGGACCCTCACTGGTGGCCGGGGATCGAACCAGGGCTGCAGAGGCTGCAGGCAGCTTCGCAGCTCAGCGCTCAACCGCTGCGCCACCAGGGGAGGCCCTGACTCTCTGTGTGTTCTCATCTGAAATAATAGTGCCTACCTACCTTATGGGGTGCTTACAAGGATTAGAGAACTAATCCATTAAAGAGGTCAGAACAGTGCCTGATACAGGTAATCCTCAGTGAGTACTAGCTATCATTACAGAACTCCTACTGTGTACCAGGCAACATCTTAATAGTAGGGTTACCAGCAACATACAGTAAATAAGGCAGGTGTAGCCCAGCCCTGAAATATAGTGAGGGAAACAGTCATCGCACGAGCAACTACCAAATTACAAGTGCTGTACTTACCATGAAGGGGATGGGTAGGCTGCCAGGTAAGAATAGCACAAAGAGCTCTACTGCACTGGGGCGGGGAGATGGTCGTGGTCTGAGAAGGGCTACCCTGAGAACAGTGATGTGTCAGCAGAGACTTGTACAATGAACAGGAAGGGAGTGGGGGCCTAGAACATTCTGAGCAGGGGAAATAGTAAGTGTGAAGGTCTTAAGGCAGAACCAGCAGAGAGGTGTCTAGCAGGTGGCGAGTAGCTAGAGAGGGAGACAGGACGAGGTCACATTGGACCCTGTAGGAAGAACTGATATTTAGCCCTGGGCTTGGGTGTCCTGGTGGCTAATGGCCAGTGTTCATTCTGGTAGGTGGGGAACCACATGTTGTGGACTGTTGTACCTCAGCCCTGCCTGTAGTCACAGTGGTGTTTCCTGATCTGTTTTCAGAGCGCTCGGGGCCTTTGCGGAGGCTGCTTCAGGGCAGTGACTGAGCAGACGGGTTAGTCAGGTAGCCTGATGATCCCCTGTGGAAATACCTGGTAGGGTACTTTGAACTTGGTTTTTTGCGAAGGTAGCGACAGGGTTATTTCAGAATCACTGAAACAATGTTATGGGGTGAGTTTTACATATTTACTGTGCAGATAATGTAAGTCTCCTTAATGATATATAGTAAATCTATAGCTATATGGTGATAGGCAATAAGACTGCACATATGTTAGTTTCCACTGAATCTTGCTAAGGAACTGGGGAAGTATGTAAACTGAAATTACATACTGGAATTCCCTTTCTCTTTGCATTGTGCAGATTGCTCAGTTACTCTTGAGAAGCCTTGTCATTCTTAATCTGGGCAGATTATCATCAGCACTGATGATACTTTGTCCATATCTGTGGAAGTGTGGCTTATTTGTTGACTTCATGAGGGCAGAGATCTTGCTTGTCTGTAAACCCCTACATTCTTTAGACCAAGTATTGAGCATGCACATAGTAGTTGATTGATAATCATTTTGAACTGAATTAAAATTTCCTTCATCCAATGTGCTCTATAAAAGGTTTGCAGCCTGCCTTACTCACTATTCATTCACTCATTTGTTATTTCACAAGTGGGCTTCCTTGGCTAGAATTCTGTTCTTTGTCTGTTTTCTGCTTTGGTCACTGCCTTTGGGATGTCTACCAGGTTCAAACTACAGGGAGGAATTTTTAGCTTCTTTGGTAGAAAGAGTAACTTCAATATGGGAGTTTGCTTTCACTTAATAGGACCCCTGTGACTATATGGGGTCCACGTGGGGTATGACTGAACAACCTTTAGCTAGTGCCTCTGAAGGATCAAAAGATAAGACTTCTCAGTTACACTGAAGGCTCTTTGAAGACATCAGATATGTGATTCGTGGATTCCCATAGCCATCTGAGAAGTCAGGAATAGAGATGGGATCTAGGAAATGTTTTGTGGAGAAGCTGCTAGTATAGTGGGCCAGAGACCCTCACTATTTGTGAGCATATTCTACCAGCAGAATCACTGCCAGTTTGGTCTAAAGGAGACAAGAGAGGAGAAACTGAAAGAAAGCCAACTGAGTCCCCAAAGTTTACAGGCAGTAAACAGACTGATAAAACTATTCATCTACTAACACCTGCTACTACTCATGAAAAAGGAAGAATGACTCAGAAACGATCACAGCCCAGAAGACAGAGCCAAGGATCACAGAGTATTAAAGCTCTGGAACCCTATGGAGTTTGTCCTGCTGGCTTTCAGAGTTTTTTTTGGGACTGGTGTGATCTCTTTCTTTTTTCCATTTCCTCTCTTTTGAGCAGGAATGTCTATAACTGGCTTCCTATTTCTGTTGCACCATTGTGTTTTGGAAGCAGATTACTTGTTTTCTAGTTTCATAGATCCATTGATGGAGAGAAATTTGGCCCCAGATGCATAATAATCAGAGTCTCACTTATTCTTGATTTAGGTTATTTAGGTAGTAAGAGTTGCAATATTTTCAGCTGATGAGATTCAATGAAATTTTGGACTTTGAGCTGATGCTCTGACAGGGTGAGATTTCAGGTGATACTAAGATGAGCTCAGTATAGTGGAACAGACATGCATCTTTGTGGGTCAGAGGGCAGAGTTTGTGATAAGCAGAATAATGCTCTCCAGTGTTCAGAGCAGAATTTCCTGACAGTAAATCTCCTAATTTTGTCATCTTTTGCAATCTGGATAGTCATAAAATATATTCAAATTTGTCTTTTTGCTAAGTGTCCCATATGTCCTTTATTCCATCTTTCTCCCTCTTTCTGGTTTCTTTTAGATTAATTAAAGTATTTTTATGATTTTATTTTACTTCCTTTGTTGATTTACTAGCTATAACTCTTTGTTTAATGGTTTCTTTATTGTTTGTAGTATACATTTGTAAATTGTCATCAGCTGTCTGCAAGTTACATTATACAACTTTATATGTATTGTTAGATATTATATTTTATTTTTTTAAAGATTAATTTATTTATGCATACAAGAACTGGAGTACAGGCCAGAGGTGGTGGGGAGTGAGAGGATTCACCAGAGACAGAGTGGGAAACAGAATAGGCAGATTGACTGAAATACACTGCTGAAGGGAGCAGTGGACGAGTCAGGAGAGGTCTGCTGCACAATGTGTGTTAGCTCCCTGGCTGGAGATCGAACTCATGCTGTAGTGGCTGTGGATAGGTTCATAGGTTGCATCTTAACCACTGCGCCACCAGAGAGGCCCTATTTTTAAAGATTTATTTATGCATACAAGAACTGGGGAACAGGCCACAGGTGCAGGGGGTGAGAAGATTCATCAGAGACTGAGCAGGGAACAGAAAAAGTGGATTGACTGAGATACACTGCTGAGGGGAGCAGCAGGTGAGACAGGAGAGGTCTGCTGCGCCATGGGGGTTATCTCCCAGGCCTGGGATCGAACTCACACAGCAGTGGCTCTGGATAGCATTATAGTGCTGACACTTAACCCCTTGAGACACCAGGGAGGCCTCAAGACTATTTTAATAGTATATGCTTTTCTTCCTGACCCCATTTTATTGCTGTTATACATTTTACTTCTACTTATGTTATAAATTATAAACTACATTGCCATTTTGATTTGATAAGTGTATTTTTAAACAGATTTAGATAATTTTCTGTGTTCTTCATCCCCCTATGTTGATTAATATTTTCATCTGTTGTCATTTTTATCCCTTGTAAAGAACTTCCTTTAGCACCGTACTATGGGTGTTGAATTCTTTCAGCTTTCGTGTGTCTGAGAAGGTCTGTATTTTATCTATATTTTTAAAGGAAATTTTGCTGGATATAAAATCCTGGTTAGACACTTTTCTCTTTCAGTACTTTAGAGAGGTCAATCTGTTCTCACTTGTGTTGTTTTTGCTGAAAAATCTGTTGTCATTCTATCCTTGTACTGCCTTAGGGAATGCAAGTATTTTCCCTGCTTTTAAAACTTTATCACTGGCTTTTAGAAGTTTGATTCTGATGTGCTTTGGTATGGTTTTTTTCCTATTTCTTGTGTGTGAGATCTATTGAGAATCATTAAATTTGAAAAAAAAAATCACCATTATATCCTCAAATATTTTTTCCTGTTCCTTTCTTTTTTTCTTTTTTAGTGATTCCAAATATATATGCGTTAAGCTGCTTAAAGCTGTTCCACAGCAAAGTGGTAGCTATTCATTTTTAAAAATAATATTTTCTTTTCTTGATATCTGCTCTTACTATTCCTTTGAGGTCTTCTTTTCTGTGTGTTGTTAGTACCACTCAGTTTTAAAAAATCTCATATAGTTTCATCTCTGTAAATTCAGTTTCACTCTTAAAATCTTCCTGTCTTCATCTACCTGTTTGAATAAATGAAATACTG